AGCCCCTAAAGCTCTAAAGCCCCTAAGCCCACGAACCACCCTGTAGCCCCTGGACCCCGGCAGCAATCCAACCTAGACTCTTAAAACCCTTAAAATCCGAAAAAATTGGCTTAGAGTCCTTAGCTCTGGATCTGCTCCACCTCTAGGTTTGGGGGCTTAGGGGTTTAGGGGTTTAGGGTTTAGAGTTTAGGGTTTAGGGTATAGGAGCTGGCGGAAGCGGGGTTTTACGGTTTAGGGTATAGGGTCGACGCAGAAATATCGACGCCTCAGTCACCTGAGTATTAAGGTAGACTGGGAGTCCTTCGTGGTGTATCTTCTACTAGACTAGGCCTAAACCCTGAACCCTGAACCCTAAACCCTGAACCCTGAACCCTAAACCCTAGGAGGGGGCCAGAAGCGGATGCTATCCATCAGAATTCCCTACCCGAAAAGAAAGGCTAGGATGTGTTGACTTTCAGTACATGGGTTTTTTGGAGCTTTGGGGGTGCCTTGTTTAGGGTCCATATGATAAGATCCTAACTGTATACATATATAAAAGTATGCATGCATACATATGTATTGTGTATATATATATATATATCTGTGTGTGTGTGCGCGTGTGTGTGTGTGTGTGTGTTTGTGTGTTTGTGTCCTCCCAAGCAAATTTGAGTTTAAGCACTATGCAGGGCCTCATATCAAGGCTGACTTTAAAAGGGGATCCTTATTATAAGGGGCACCTAAACGAGGTACCGCTACTTTTTTGCAACTAAGCACGAGATTCTGCTCAACACTGCTTCAGAGAACCCCGTGCATAGGCCCTCGCATCCACAAGGGGCGGGACCTGAAGGTTACAGAAGTTCAAGAAATGGATTTAGGGTTCAGGGTTTAGGGTTTGTACCAATTTCGTTTAAAGCCCTCATACAAACATTGCGCAACCCTTTCCAAGACCATATAACCCCTATATACATGGAAAAAACACTTGTAAACTCGTATAAAGCCTTGCACAACCCTCTCCAAAACGGTATAAACCCTCAATAAAAAAAAACCCTTCTAAAGCCTTGTAAAAATCCTTGCGCAACCCTTTCCCACAATTTATATACCGTAAATTCTTCTACAATCCTTGCACAACCCCTTCCAAAACGTTTTAAAAACCCTACGACAACCGCTTGTAAACCCTGATAAAAAGCCTTGCGCAACCCTTTCCAAAGCTTTCTAAACCGCTAATTAAAAAAAATCATGCAAACCTCTATCTCCTGACAGTCGGTTCCGGCGGCTAACCCGGAAACACCCGAATTCACCCTAAACCCTAAACCCTAAACCCTCAACCCTGAACCCTAAACCCTAAACCCTCCACCCTCAACCGTTGAAAGAGGGAAGGCCCGACGACCTACACTGCAATCCCTGCTAAACCTAGGCGCTTCCCATGGGCCCCTAAGTAGTTCCTTTGTATGGTTTATATATATATATAGATATAGATATATAAATATAAATATATATATATATAGATAGATAGATAGAATATCCTATAAGGTAATCCCAAAAAGGAACTACTTAGGGGCCTATGAGTTTACACCTCTCAACCCGCATCACGTTGAACTGCTTCGGCCGTGTCCTCAGGTGGCATCACACACCTCCGCAAGCGGTGCCGTCGCTTGACGAAAACCTGACCGGAGGCAATCGTGACTGATTCTTCCTGTCCTCTGAACAGGTAAACAAAAGCTCGCTTGTGGAAGATCCCTCAAATATACGGAGCGAAATCCAAATCTCAAAAACAACTCGAGACTGTAGAGGTTATATACTCCGCGAAAAACCCACTTGACTTATGGACTGCGGGTTCGGGGCATGTGATAAATTGAGGTATCGGATGTCAGGCCTCGGTTCATGCAGGGGTTAGGTTCAGGGTTTAGGTCTACGTTGAGGGATCGCGTAGAGCTTTAGGGATTTTCGATCGTCACACGCATTAAGGCTGAGGGACCCATTCCAATCTTAAGCAGTGCTTGTACATGGAGTTAATATATCTCAGGCACACTAGTCGTCATCTCAGCAGTCGTGTGACGAACCTTCATGCACAACGGACCGACGGCATTTCGTCAATTGAACGGCTGTCAGTTTCTTACCCCGAAAGATTGAGAACATGAACCGATCCAGGGCGAATTGAACAGATTGTGGGACATCAAAACCAAGATTAGCAAAAGCACTGAGCACTACCTGAAGAACACACTGCAAAAAGCAAACACTAAGCCTCAACACAAACCTAAGGTTTCAACCTCCAACACTAAAACCATACATCCTAACATGAACCCAAACCCCTCAACCCAATACCGGAAACCTTTACAAAACTTATAGCCCGAACCTGTCTCAGACCCTACTTAAACCAATCATGCTGACATCAACCTTTTGTTTCTGCGATACCGTTCTTACGTATAAATTAATGGAAGGCGTTCGTCTAATCTAAATAGGGGTCCTTCCCTCTCCGGTATGCCTCAAGACAGAGCCCTTGACCTTTTGTAAAACCATGTAAAGCCTATGCCACCCCATGATTCCTCCAATGGTGTCTGTTAAAACAAGAGCACCAAAAGCCTAAACTCTACACTCTGGGAGCAATAACCCTACAACCCAAGATTTCTGCCTTCTCCATGGTCTCGTCAACTGGTGCTTGCGTTGCTTCGCTTACCTCTGGCGCTGGCTTCTCCTGCCAGGGCCCACAGGGTCCTAATTACCCATCAAATAGAATGTAGGGTTTCTATCATAGCAATTAATATTCTGATTGGGGAAAGTAGCCCCTTGCCAGGGTTCTGCTTAAAGGCTCTATCATGGTTTCCAAGGGGGCTGCCAGCATTCTTCAAGATACAAGAGATTTAGGGGTTGGGATTGAGTTCTGTCGGGGATCCGGGCTCCATAACCCGCGGGGTCCCTTTATACTACCAATACTACCAATGTGGAATTAGTTCCCGAAAGACCATCACTTTTCATGGTTGTGGGAACTTCAACCCAGAATAGTAGTATATAATCTAGAATCGGAGTTTGACCATATCACTGTGGAAAGCGGCTTCCGGACGGCGCCGGAAGGCTCTCCAGGGAGCATGGTATGTCTTCTGAGTTTTCAAAAGTTTCGTGGCGCCTTGGAGAAGTCTCACTGGTCCGAACAGTTCCTGGATACAATGTTACCACGTACTTGTTACTACTCATAGCATTTATTATTGCTACGACTATTACTATGATTACAATTATCCTTGTTGTCAGAATTCCTATTTTATCATGATTGATATGATCATACCTTTTTTGCTAGTATTAGTTTTAACCGTGTGGTTACTATTAGTATTGGCATTGTTGTTGCGAGGTGAGTGTTACTGCTAAGGTTATTATTGCTTTTGTTACTAATTAGGACTATTGTTCTTATTACAGTGATTGTTATTGCTACAATTATGCAAGCGTTTTGCGGCTTTCCTTGCACATGACGCGTTTCCCAAGTCTGCGTTCGGACAGTTAGGTGCCGTTTGTAAAGTCCGCGAACGTCGGAAAGCCTAAACCATAACAAGAAATGCGTCTTAAGTACCAGACTAGGACCCTAGAGTATCCAAGACGTGCTTCGGAAATCCAGATCGGGGTGTTTGTTTAGGGTTAAGGCTGCCTGCATAGTGCGGCTCAGGACTTTGAGCCATGATTGCGACTTAAATCATGAAGCTTCAGCTTACGCGTCGAAAGTCGTAGACACAAGGGTCATACAACCCTAAACCCTAAACTCTTTAAACGCCTTTAAACTCCTCAAACCCTTAACCCTAAGCCCTTCAGACCAAGGAAGGTCTGTAACTCTTACGGTTTAGGGCTTTGGAATCAATCCCCGGACCTACGTCGGCTAAGGCCTTTTAGCTTCGGACAGCATTTGGGATAGCTCTCGGACCCCCCCCAAACATGATCACATAAACAGGCTTTTGGGGTATACTACATATATATATATATACACACATACATATATAGTATACATCTATAGGCTCATTAAAGCATAAAGTCATGTAGGTCATCACATTATTGCTAGTTATTCCGACCCCGGCCCCAAGGCCCCAAGTACCCAAAAAAACTTGCATACTCTCTCTACCCGACTACCCTAGAAAACTACGACCCTGAAGGAAGGTACCTGATTGTGAGGTCCTTCGGACCCTTTGGGCCAGAGGAGGGTTAGGGGTTTAGGGTTTAGGGTTTAGGGTCTAGGGTTTTCATAAACCCTAAACCCTCCACGCAAAACCGAAGAGCTGTGCAAGTTTCCAAGTATCGGGTACAAGGTGTAGAGTTTAGGGTATCATGGTGTGTGGCTTTGAGGGTCTGTCAGGTTGGTTTATTGTACTTGAGCAGGTACAGTCACAAGAAAGCACGAGACGTACCCCCGAGCGGTTGGCACGAAGGTGCTACGACGGCACGCGCACATCTTTCGTTGAACTTTTTGCAGTCATCGACGGGATGAGTGCTGATCATTTCGCAGCCAAGCCCTCGTAGGTTCTAAGAAGCTGTGTCACATCGTCCCGATGCACTTCCAACATAAGCTGGGTTCCGTTCAGCAAGCTCGTAGCTCCGGCCACCGTGAAGGTTTTCTTATTACAAACTGAACCATAATTCCAAAGGTAACGGGAGTCGTACCGATGTTCAGGACGAGATCCCAACACATCTTTCAAAACCTCGTACTGTACGCCTGATTCAAAATCTTGGCTTCTGGCTGCTTCAATCTCTTCTATGCCGGCACTGACCAATCGGAGGGCAACCTGAAGCTCTTCCGTCCAGTACAGATTGTTACTCAACTTGTCGAGAGATCTCGAGATGTCATCGATGTCAAAAGTTGGCTCCTTTAAAATCCCGTGCAGATCAGAAATGCTCTGTTTCAGGCAAACAATGCGATAGTCGGCCGCGCGGACTGCATACTGTAAATACGGAATCTTTGGCCCTGGTAGAAAAGCGCCGTTCCCGCCGTCGTGCACCCTCCAGCACTGCGTGAAGTGTCTGTTGGAAAGGAGGTCCTGCAACTTGCGGATGGCCAAGTCTCGACGCTCCAAGTTCTGAACAAAGCCGACTGCCTGAGTAGGAGTGGGCACGCACAACATTTGCGAAGTCTGAAGGCATGTGAATGTACATAACAAGATCGCCGCAAGACTTTGCGAGGGTCTGCGAAAGGATGATGAGAGCAGGCTGGGACGAGACATTCCAGCCATCAGCGCTGTATGGCTACCTACGTAAACGGCTTAAGCCCACAACTCACAATCGGAACGTAAGCTCCTGCGGTAAGGCTTTAGAACAGAGAGTGTTAAGCATCAATTTTCTGTTGTGAAGCTCTCGTCTCCTATGCCGTAAGCGTCCAAGAAGTTACGGTACAACTCCATCGGATTGGCAAATTGCACTTTCCATGTGGACACTGTGCTGACAAAACATACGCTATACCGAAAACCTTACAGAAAGCTAACGACGACGAGGCTCTACTGAACAAGCCTAACCCAAAGCCTTAAACAGAAAACAATCCCGGTACCAAAGGTTTCTTGTCTTCTCAGCCGGCCGTAGAACCAGAATAAACACAATAGTCTTACGAACCCCCTGGAGACATATACTCAGAATAATAAAACATGATGCTTACAATAAGAAGAGTAAAAGAATAATCCCTACTATAAGAAAAACAAAACATAAGTCCTAAGAGCATTAAAGTCCTCAACTCCCCACGTCCCCAAAGCTTTGCCTCGGCAGGCACCGCCCCGTCGCTCACAGGGTCAGGTCGCCAGCTATCCTGGGGGCTCTGGGCTTGGAGTTTAGGGTTTATGTAGGGTTTAGAGTTGACGGGTTTAGGGTTCATAGGGGTTTAGAGGTTCAGGGGTTGCGGATTTTAGGGTCTCGGCATTAAGGTAAACGGCTTAGGGTACAGGGGATTGGGTTTAGGGCTCAGGGTCTAGGAGGTTTGTATGCACAGGTCCGTGCGATACCCCATAACACCTCGTACAATCCCTCTGCAAAAAGCCCCAATAAAACCTGTCAACGCCCCTATATGAACCCCCGATTCAAACCCCATATTGCCCCCTCCCCCCCTTAGATCCTGATCCCTAAACCTGAACCCTCAACCCTAAACCCTCTAGGGCTTGGCCCTACATTTTCTTTTATAAAACTCCAATCTACCCCAAACCCGCAGCATGAGATTTGGGCTTGCGGATCTCGAGGTCGGAGTCTACGTGGAGGATCACGGGACTTACGGTTGATGATATAAATCCTGCATTACCCATAATAAGGAATATACTATGATTCCGATAGTTTAGGGTCCTTAAAGTAATGCAGGATTATTTTTTATAACTATACTTATAGCTACCATAGGGTTCCTTTTAAGGGTTTAGGGTTGAGAGTCTACTCAGAGGATCATGGAACTTAGTAACTATGGTTATTATGAGGGTAGCTCCACTGTACTTATGGCTACTTATAACCCCAATTAAAACACACATAAACTTATAGCCAGACTTACGAAGCCCCATGATCCTCCAAGTATGGTCTATGGAACCATCCAAATCACCAAAAAGCCGACCCGAAAGTTGGAGTGCTTGTGCTGATGTAACACTATGAGGAAACAGCCAATGAAACCAACTGGCTTTTTGGCTGCAGGGCGCAAGCTTGCGCCTGGCAGCATAAGAAAACCTAGCTAATTATTTAGCAAGATTACAGGGTTTTTCCTCGGGGGGAGAGGGGAGGGTGATAGTTGATACTACTGCAGGAACAGGAGGGAGCTTCTAGGCAAACTATGGTGTGATGTTCATAGTTGTCCCGATTGCTAAAGTCCCTATGTTGCATCGAAGATCTCTCCAGGCCTCCGATGGGAACTTGGCGGCCCACTTAGCCCAGACCCTAAGCCAGTCGACGCTCTAAACTCTCACACTGAGTCCTGCTATGTGCAGCCCTGTAAAACCTACCTACCTTTGAGGTGGATGGTGCTTCTCTTATATAAGTCCTGAACAAAAATGCTACAGCATACTTGGGCTAAGGTAGGCCCTGAAACTCAGCAGAGAGCCTCCTGCGTAAGCATCTCGGTGTCATTCACAGACTTGGGCGCTGAGTTGTCCTGGTAAGAAACCACAAAACCCCGATCCCCAGCCCTCTACGTATCCCTAAACCCTTTTTCCCAAACCCCTAAACCCTAAACCCCTCAAAGCCCTAAAACCTAAAAACCCAAACCCCTAAACCCTATAAACATAAACCCAAACTCCTCACCCCAAAGATCCTCAAAGCTGAGTTGGGGGGTTCTTTATGGAGTTGAAGGGCTTCCTGAAACCGTGTGCTCATCTTCCTTGCTGTCGGCCCTAGAAGCCCCCTACCCATAGGCCCCTAAGTAGTTCCTTTTTGGGATTACCTTATTATGGGATTCTAAACATAAACCATCAAAAGGAACTACTTAGGGGCCTAAGGGTAAGCTCAATGCTCAAAATCTAGGGGCTCTTGTTTTCATGTACTTGTGTAGGCGGCAGAAGCGGCGGTCGGCCTTCGAGCTTTGGGTGCAGAGTCCATCTTGGTCCAAGGCTTTTTTGAGGCTTCTCTAAGACGTTTTGAAGGATTTTTGGGTTCGGCGGTTTTGAGGGCTTTAGAGCTGAAGCTTACGCCTTACGCCCGAATCTATTTGCACCCCTTGCCAAAATTCGAAAAGTCTATTCTCAACACAAACCTCCAGACCGCGCGAACGCTCACCCCAGAGCTCATTACTACCTTACAAGATCCACTCGAGGCCACGGTGCCAGACTCAAGCAGCACCACACAACCCTGACCCTCTAAGGACTCATATTTTAAGGCTTTTGGGCCCAAAGACCCTATTATATAAGGCTTTTGGGCTATGTTGATGCTAAGGGATAAGTGAACACAAAGTGATGCCTTGAGCCCCAAAAAACTCCAAAAAGCTTTCCCCAGGAGCCCAGTTACGTATATAGTGGGTTTCTGTCCCTTAAACTAACCCTAAGGGTCCAAAGGACCTAATAATCATGTACTTGGGTTACGGATAGTAGTTTTGTAGGTTAGTGTTCAGAACAGTATATGATTATTGGGTACTTGGACCCTTAGGGTAAATGCTCTACAAAACTTTACAATACCCATAACCCAGGAAGTTGCTATCTAGGTAACTGGGCTCCTAGGGTTTGGCCCCTCATCTCATCCCGAAACTCCCTAAAAACACCCCAAACCCCTGGCTCCTAAGCCCTAAAAAATCTAAAAACCCTCAACCCTAAAAATCCTGAAAACCCTAGACCCTAAACACCCTAAACTCTCTAAATACCCTAAACCCTAAAACCCCATAAAAAAAAACCTAAAAACCCTAACAAGCCTAAACCCTAAACCCGAACTGAACCCCAAGCCTTGCCAACCCTAAACCCGAAGCCCTAAACCCCCTGAGCCCTACCTCTCCCTCTCGGCCCTGCCCCTACGCGGACCCTATAAAAACCGACCGACGTTGTCAAGGACATGTGTATGTATGTATATACATATATATATATACATATATATATACATGTATATATATATATAGACATATGTATATATATATATGGCAATCAGAAGAAGGAACCCTAAACAACCAAAAACCTACACCTTAAAGGGTTCAGGCGAAGCCTGGAAAAGAAGTCTCCTCCGCAGGCGTCTCGGTTTCATTCGGGGCCGCGGGCTTCGAGTTGTCCTAGCAGGAGAAGCAATAGACTGGAACGAAAGAGATGATGCCTAAGCTCTGGGAAACGGTCTAGGGTTTAGTGTTTAGGGTGTGCAGTTTAGGGCTTAGGGTTCGGAGGGTAGGGTTTAACTACGGGGTTTACAGCTTATAAGGTTTAGGGTGGGACCCCCCCTGCATAATAAAGATGCCAGGTAGCCACCAAAAGACTAGGTTGTATGTAGAGGCATATAACGAAGGAGACCATGATTTTGGCAGGTTTACATACTTTCACAGCAGGGACTCCAAAGAAATAGTTTTGCCAACTATTCCGAGACCCTGACTAAGTACAAGCGTCAACTGAATATGCTTGCTGCTGGAGTCCGAGTCCTTCGTTGCAGGGTCCGCGCCCCGGCTGTCCAAATACATACATACATACATACATACATACATACATACGTATATATATATATATGTATGTATGTATGTATGTATGTATGTATGTAGGTATGTAGGTAGGTAGGTATGTATGCATGCATGCATGCATGCATGCAGGGAGGGAGGGAGGGAGGGAGGGAGGTAGGTAGGTAGGTAGGTAGGTAGGTATTTAATCTACTTTTCGGGGTGAAGGTAGGGTGCATGGGTCTAAAGTTGGGGTTGGGTGAAGGCTAAACACACTCAAACCCGACTCAAACCCTAAATTCTAAACCCTAGACCCTGAAACCCTAAACCCTAAACTCGAAA